GTTTGCCTTTTCTGTCCTGAAGGTAGAAATGGCATTTTGCGACCACTCTTTGCTGACAAATTGTTTGCTTGAGGTTTCGAGGAGCTCAAGGTAATGTTGATTAAACTTGTGTTCTGCATCGTTACCTACATCATCCATGTTGAGAAGTTTCCTCTCAGCTTTGAGGAACTCGCGGACTAAACGATGCAAAACTAACTTTTCATTGTCAATTTTACGAAGTAGAGAACGCCTTATCATGGTATTCTTAACAACCTCTGGCTGTAATACGTCACCGAAGAGAACCTTCATGTCTTTAACAGAGAACGCAGATGGAAAAACTGAAAGGCGAACAAGGTTCGCTTTTATGTTTTCTGAAATGTTGACCAGGAATTGTCTCAAAGAATTGTAAACGTCTTCTGCATTGGTCTTAAAAAGTGGAATGGGATTTTCTTTCAGACGTGCGACCAAATTTTCCGGGCTGAAGCCTTCTTCTAGTAAGCCTGCACAGTTGACAAGAACCAGCGGTATCCCACCACAGAGGTTACCGAGTTCCTTGATATGCCGCTCCTCACAGTTTGGGACTAGGTCCTGAAGTAATTTGGCAGACAACTCAGGATCCAGACCATCCAGAGACACTATGGGTATGTTCATTGAACGAAAACCCACATCCTTTCGAGTAGTGATGATCAGCTGAACAAGAGGTGCGTATGTTTCTACATACCTTAAAAAGTCGTCAAATTCCTCTCCTTGTTGTTGTATACCTTCTACGCTGTCTAACACAATAACTTTCTTCTCTTGAAGCTCTTTAAGTCGCTTCTTTGCTATCGCTACCATATTATGACTCTCTGAAAGTCTCGGAGCCAGAGGGTTAATTTCACGGAGGATTTCGCTGCAGATTTCTGTAAGCTTTTTTTTTTCTTCAATGAATACAACAGCCTTTTTATGTTCTTCTTTGAGTAAGTGGCTGACGTGAATGGCAACTTGAGTCTTTCCCATTCCAGGGATACCAACAATGATGATGACGCGTGAAGGATTTGGGTCCTTAGTAAGTTCTTGAACAATTTTTTGTACCACTAATTCTCTACCTTTAAAATGTGCCCCTTTACAAGGAAGTGTAGGGTTGGCAGTTGCAGTTAATTGTCCTACGGAAAAAGAAAAAACTATATATTTCAGTTTTGTTTTAAAAGAGCTAACAACTCGTTGATACAAATCACTTATAGCGCAACCCCGATGCCAAAAAAGTTATCCCTTTCCATGGTTTGGTGATTTATTTGCATCAATGCACAGGAGGTATTATAACTGTATATGGCCGAAAGCAGACTGCAGAACGCACTTTGCAGAATGTATGTTAAATGACATCAAGATCTTACTGGAGGTGACGTCACCAACAATATTGTCCCCTTTCCCGGCGGCCTCTAGCATAGCGAGAAAGTAGCCTTGAAGTGTACCCAAGCTTGACAGGTCAAAGGACTAAGAATGCTAGAACTGAAAAAAGGTGGTTACGCCGTCGATGCTGCTAGAATTGGATGTGAAAGAGCCTTCATATTGCAGGAGTATGACACGCTGCTAGCAGCAGTGACATCCGGATAGTGGCTGCAGGGTCGACCATCTTCTGACAGTAAAGGCAGAAGCCAAGACTGCTAGTTGCAACATCCAAGCAACTTAAGAAGCTGGAAAGGGAGCTGGAAAGGAAGCACAAGTGGCAGCAAAGATGAACACTACTTCAAGATAGCACTGCTTGGGCTTTGTCATACCAGATGGATTAAATACTCATGCTGGTGTCGAAAAGGAACATGCTTCCCAGAGCCTTTAAATGCTTAATAAGTGGTCATAGGGAGCGCACATCAGTTGAGAACTCCAGAAACTGGCGGACAAGTTCATAAAGAAGATGAAAAACTTCTTCATCAATGCGGTGCAGCGCCTTATCCCACGAATGACGTTGGATGAGGGGAGGGGGTGGGGGCGAAGAACGGGGCGTTTTGCAATAGACTCCACAGTGGAGCTCAAGTTCTTAGTGGAAGTCTTCAACATAGAGGAAGGTGACGACAGCAATGGATACGAGCGACATAATCTGGGACAACATGGTCTGGAAAAAATGAGCGAGAACCGGCGAGGTCATCGGTTGAAAAGAATCTTAAACAACTACATCCACAAAGCCGCCTGGCAGAGCTCCTACCACGTCATGGAAAACCACACTGATCACCTGTGTATCAGCAGAAGATCAGGTGATCCCTAGAGGATGAGGATGTGACATTGTAATATGAATGTATATTCTGCCTGCTACCTGGAGTCACCACACTCCATGCATCCTCGGAGACCCAGGGGCAGATAGTGGGGGCAAGGGAAAGTCTAAACGGTCGGAAAAATAAGGCACGAAGAAAAGAAAAGAACGGCGAGAAGAGCCCCTGGGGACAATGTCTTACCAGACCAGTTCCAAACGGTCGCCGCCGTTCTGTCTTCTGATTGGTGCCAGAAAACTTGTGTTTTTCTGGCACCAATCAGAAGACAGAACGGCGTCGACCGTTTGGAACTGGTCTGGTAAGACATTGTCCCCAGGGGCTCTTCTCACCGTTCTTTACTTTTCTCTTGTGCCATATTTTCCCGCCTGTTTAGACTTTCCCTCGCCCCCACTATCTGCCCCTGGGTCTCCGAGGATGCACTCCATGTAGCCTCAGCAATTAGCCGCACGTTTAATTAACTTATTTTTTATCAGAAATCTTTGTTTCCTGCACGCGCACGCTAACGCAATTTGTAGATTTAACGAGAAAGTTCTTTCTAACGCAAGCTAGGACGTACGCGAAAGCGCCACGCAATTTTGTTGTTAAAAGGTTAAGTTTTCTGTTTTTGCGGTTAGTTGACGCAAGTTCTTTGTCAATCCATTTCAAGAAGCCAAGAAGTTTTCCTGGTTCTAGTGATTTTAAGGACATCACCAAGGTAAATATTTACGCTACACTTTCTTATTTAAGTAAGCGCTTTGTAATTTTATCCTTTAAAAGGTATGACTGCCCGGGTCACGTCATTTGCCGCCTTTTCTGCCAACTAAAAGCCAGTGATGGCTGTTGTTCAGCAAGCCGAGTTCATAAAGGTACAAGCGCGTTACGCTCATTATTTTAAAATGACTTTCATTTAGAACGGATACTGACGGCAGTATTGGAGTATAAAAAATGTTGAATACTGACATACCTTAAAAACCAAAGGCGAAAATTTACACTTGATATAAGAAACCTTAAGCGGGTGGCTTTGCTGTGTATTTGTATGAATATTTCGCCTTCAGAAACAGCACACTTGCTTTTATGAAATATCAAATTTGGTTTTAAACTTCTTTATACTTGTGATGAATATTTTGCCGTGCGAACAAACATTAGGTCAATTGCTTATATTGTCACTGTACTTTTACATTCCTCTAATGACCTTCAAAATTCGAATGTTTAGCTACCAAACAAGTCATGTTTGCACCCAATTAGGACCTCCTAAGTTGCTTTAAACTGTCTTATTAACAAAATATTGTACAACTAACAGTGAAGAACCCGTTTGAAAGTGCAAACGGATTCAATCCGTGCTAAGTCTTTGTCACGCTCTACTTCTTTTATGCAAAAAACTATCAAAACTGTCTCCAAAGAAGCTAAATTGTAAAAACTGCAGCTCAAAATGTGAGTCATTTCATATAGTGCCATTCATGTCATTTCCACCATTGGGTACAGTTGTATATTACGAATTCAAAATCAGGGGCACCCAACGACGGTTTCCTCCTAAATGCTTTGAAAACACTTTTTAGGCTATCCAGAGTGACTTTTATAGATCTCTAGAAATGTACTCTAAGTGGCGCTAAAAAATTTATATCTGTTCGGTCATCCTTGGGCAACTTGAGTCGTTTCGAAATTACAAGGGCTTCAGTAATATTTTCTCGAAAATTTTAGCTACAATTTAAAGTTTTACGAATTTCAAAGTGATAGTTTTTCTGATTCCTCTCTGCACCGCAGTTTTACAATTTCGAAAATTTTAGGTTTCCTTTTTCTACGAAAAATAGCCTAACCTGGGGAGTGAAATGGGAAAAATTAAACTTCAGAAAATCGTAGGGAATTTATTAGATAAGCTTCGAAAATTGAACATGAATGGAACGGTCATCTAGCCTTCCTCCAGCTATAGAAAATTCTAGGCAATTTTTGCTTCTCCGAACAGATATTTCACAGAAAACAGTCGTTGCGTGCCCCCTGTCAAGTCAGAAATCAGTCAGTCAAGCCTGAATTTTTTCAGTTTCTTTTTCAACCGCTAAGGTTATTCATTCAACTGCAAGGATCATGTTCACTTTGAAGTTCATTGTCTACATGAAAGTTTTTATGGCAAAAAAACTGAGATAGGTCCTGATAGACTACGATTCTCTGCTTACTAGCCTGAAATAAGCACACGTCATTCAATTTCAGACTTCGTGCTTACGATAAGTTTTTATGTCAGGCATTCCACGTAAGTCTGAGAGAGACCGGAGCGTACATTTGGACGCTCTGCATACATTGCTTTGCCCATCGACTTGTACTTTGTTTGTTGACTTTGTTCTCTTGTTTTTGTTCCATTATGAAATGGCAACAAAAACTAAGTTCATTTTTTACAAAAGAGAGAATGCTAGTTGAATCAGAGAAGCACTGACGGAAGATGTCCATTAGAGTTGTTCAAAGTTTCAATGTCATGGTTTGACCTAGACCATTTTTGAAATGACCCAATTTTATTTAAAAGGTCATGTGGGATAGATGACCCACTTTGACCAATTTCTAGATCGAACACTGCACGTATAGTAAATCAAGGTAAAGTCGTCAGCTATCAGTAAGTGTGAACCATTTTTAAAGATTTTCCTTGCCAAATTAATGCATTAGAGATTCACTGGTTATTGAATTTGCTTAAAGTTAACAAGTGTCAAACACTTTCTCAGCAATTAAGGCATGGCTTGGTGGATTAAGTATCAAGTGAAAGAGACAGTTTGAGATTAATGCTTTAAGGAGACTCTGCTCGCAGGGTAGCTGGCATTCAAAGTACATTGTATTTTTTGCTTCGTCACAGTGTATTCACTGCTATTTTTGTAGTTAAAAGTTTTGCACTCTCTTGATCTTGTCTTGTTTTCTTTGTCTCAAAATTCCCAATCGCACATGTCCATACCCAAAATAAAGGACAATAAAAAAGGAAAGAATCATTAATGAAATGGTGAACCACAACATACAAAATGGGATAGGAAAATTTTACTTCATCGGCTAAAAAACCTTTATATGATATAATGGTGTAGTACCTGTCACTCCAGCATCCTCCAGTAATTTCTGGGCTATTTTTGGATGAAATTTTCCAGTTCACGAGCAAAATCTTCAAAAGCTTTAGGACCCTTTCTGGGGAAAATTCATTTTATATGATTTATGTAATTATTGTGAATTTACGCTTTCAGAAGAAAAAAACTTTGAAGAAACGCTGCTTGTACAACCACGGCAAATCTCGCTTTACTTACACTTATATGCAAATTACCATTCATTAGGCGGATTTCACTGGAGACAAAAATGCTTGCTTTTTTGGGGCACCCTGTTTATTTTGATTAACAAAATTTTTTAAGCCTTGCTTCACACTTTTTCCAAAAGTTATGAGAAATGTTGTGACTGAATAAAGTCACGCAACACGCTTTTAGACTGTCGTGTACAACTTGATCTTTCTAGTATCTTTTGTTGCTCTGTTGTCTCCAAAACAAATAAAAAATGTTTTACCAATTTCCACTTTCAAATAATAGGGGACATTTGATTGACAGAAAAATTTGCATTTACTATCGACATGTTTGAATAGGCGGCATTCCATAATGCACTCTAGAAACTACAAGGGGAATGGGTACAAGCATTGGGCACAATGACTTTTGGGATTAGCGTTAGTTATGATGGGTTGATAGCATTCAAGTCAACCATTAACCAGTCATAAGTAATGCTTGTGTACCAAAACGATCCCAGAAATCCTTGCGTGAAAGCTTGCACCCATTCCGTTTAGGCAAATACAAAATAAGGTGGACCAAAGGGAGGTTTTTGAGCCCATGAGACTGAGCAACCCCACAAACCCTTGTTTTCACTAAAACCACTGGACACAACATAACACCTGGGTCGATGTTACATTTGTCACAACCTTCCCCTTATAGTTTCTGGAATGGGGAATAAGACTCAAAATAAAATGTCCTTACCTTTCTCAAAAGACGAACTATCAATGCCTGACTCTTGCATCAGAGGGATGGCCAGATGACGCTGTCTCTTATACAAAGCAGCAACAAAACAATGGAAAGCTTTAGGTCCTCTTTTTGGAATCATATCGACTAATTTTTCTGCACAAGCTTTTCTCGGACCCTGAGCTTTGACAACCTCCCTGTCATCTTCATCAAGACATTCGGACAGGTCATTTAATACCTTCGAAGGTTCCAAGTCCTTAACAAGGTCCGCACGGTGACTTGTGATGATATTTCTGTGCTCTTCTAACATACCCGCCATCTTTAAAAGATACAAATTCGCGGAAGCAATGAGTTTTACATGATTTTATCGCTCTGAAACCTTTACCCGCCGACAAATGAAGAAAATATAATACAAAAACAACTCCAAAAAACATCTTGCTAACTTAAAATATAAGTATAAGCAAGAAATGACACAAAATAAATAAGCGTAATCTTATTTCAAGACCATTATCAAACGTGAAGTACAAGATGGAAAAGCGCTGAACTTATAAAGAGAGCTAGCCAGAAAGGTGTGACTGAATATTAACAAACTAATAATTGTGACAAGAATATGGAGGAAAGATATAATAAAAAAAAAGCTGAAATTCAAATTAAACCTAAAGCTAAAACAATATAAGCTCTTTGGCAGGTTAAATGCCAGAGTTAAGTTGAGGTATGTGCCTCTTAGGCCCTTTTGACAAGGAGGGAGAGTAACCCTGGTGCTTGGGTTACCCTAGCACTCGCATATTTCTTATTTTTTCACACGACGTGTTTACAACGCGGGTAGGGTTAGCCTAGCGCTAGGGTAACCCTACCTGAGTGCTAAGGCTACCCTAGCAAGGCGATTACCCTACCGGCCTTGTAAATGCTCAGCTAGGGATAACTCGCCTACCCGGGTTAACTTTCCGCCGTCATGCGTGACCGGTAATCGTACCAATTTGAACGGTATTATCCAACTTCTGAGCTTAATTATAAACATCTGAATCATAACAATCTGTCTGCGATGATAATATTTTCCCTTTTTTCGTGAATTTAACGTGTTTTTCATAGAGAACTTCAAGATTATTTCAAATTTTGGACCGTTACAAAGAATGTCAGGCATGACGAAACACGTCAGCAAAGCTGGTAAAGTTGACCCGGGCGATAGGGTAACCCTACCTGTGAAAATTGCTGGCCCTGTTTACAAGGAGGGAATATGAGACGCCGATCTTAATTCCAGCCGAACTAAATTCAGAAGGAGAAAAATGTTTATTTCGGTCGAATTGCTTACAAAATACGTTGTAAGAATTTTCCAAAATCGATCCAAAGCCGAAATTCCCGGCCTGGCTAGGCGGAAAGAACTGCTGAGCCGTTCCAAATTGAAACAGGCGTTCCTAATTGATTCAGACGCCGAACTTTTCATGTACTTAATTCAATGTATTAGGTTTGCCTCATGAAAAGTACGGCGTCTGAACCGGGCCTTAGATAGGATGATCACATGATTGGTGAAACTTGACGCCCCTATCGGATTAGACTGCAAAACAGTCCGTTTTTTTTTCTCAAACTCAGTAAAGAAATCGGTAAAGCGTGGCGTAAGAGTCTTACGCGCGCAAAGCTCGCGATCCTCACACGCCCATAGAGCATGATCTCAGACTAAGAGAGGACCAAACTGATGACCAACAACAAATTGATATCAGAATCAACGGTGAAAAATTGGACGAGGTTGACAGCTTCAAGTATATGGGCGCAGTCGTCACAGATCAAGGTTCCAAGCCTGAATTACTGTCCAAAATTGCACAGACAACAGCAGCGCTAGCGAGACTGAAGACCACCTGGAACGATAAGCATATCTCTCTAAAGTCAGCTTAGCTTATGCGCTCCCTGGTTATCTCAGTACTGTTGTACACCTGCGAAACCTGGACACTGACAGCGGACATCCTGAAGAAATTACAGGCCACTGAGATGAGATGCTTTAGGAAACTGCTTGGCATCTCATACAGTGACCTCATCACTAACGATGCAGTCAGAGACAGAATCAGACAAGCCGTTGGGCCGTATGATGACATCTTAAACACGGTACAGAAACGCAAGTTAAAGTGGTTTGGGTATGTATTAAGAACAGCAGGACTTGCCAAGACAATTTTACAAGGAACAGAGCTAGGAGGGAGAAGGAGGGGCTGACAGAAGAAGAGTTGGGCAAATAATATTTCTGAGTGGACACGTCCTAGGAAAATCTGAATCAAAACTAAATGGAGGAAAGGATTGCTTGGTCCTTGGCGCCCATACGGTCACCATGACTACGAGATAGGTGCAAGGAGCAAGACTTGTTTATCCCAATTAAATACCGCAGCGGAAATTCCACGCTTCGCCCGCACTTTATGAGGAATGTTTCGGTATGATTGTAGCCTGCATAGCAGACGCCAGTTTGTTTTTTAGGGCGAAGAAAGAAATTCCAAGGAAGTGTGTTCCCTTCGCGCGGCCTCGAAAAAAAATAACCGGCGCTTGCTACGTAAGCTACATAATTATATCATTCTCTTTGCAATCAGCAAACGTTCTACGTTGTTAGGGTACTTAGCAATTCAAATAATATAATAATAATAATAATAAATGTTATTATTATTATTATTATTATTATTATTATAAAATAATTTTTGTAAAAAATTTTAACATAAAAACAAAAATAATGAAAGAAAGAAAGAAAAAGAAACCGGTACATTGTCCAATCTGTGTGCTGAAACGTTGTCACCTCCCTATATTTCGAGCCCAAGCCTAATTTATCGAAGACACTTGAATTGAAGGTTTGCTTATGCGACTTGTTATTTTTGTAAGCACTATTTTAAAACATAAGCAAGCGAATATTAACGTTAAAAGCCGACGTTTCGGTATAATCATGACACCATTCTCACGGCAAAATGAATAAATAATGCGAAGATTTGATTTCTATAGTCTCTATAAATTAGCATAAGAACAAAGGATCACAAGTTCTTCAAGTGAATACCTTTGCGCGAATCGAGTCCGCCTGCACGTTTAGGGATGGTTTGAGTTCTCTTATAAAGAGCATCTCCTTAATTAGGCAATCAAATTTGTTAGAGCCTTTAGTGAGCACGTGAAATTGTTCTGAAAGAACAGGTGGTACGCCCGAGTTATGTTCGCTAAAATAATGTTTACAAATTGACGACCATTTCTGTTTGTGTCCATCAACACGTTCGTGGAGGTGGCCGCGAGTATAACCAACATATCCTGCATCGCACAGGTTACATTGAAATTGATAAACTAAACATTGTTGGTTAACAATAGCTGGCTTGACTTCTCGAAATTTAAGGTCTTCGTTGAGATTTCTGCTGATGAACACAGGCTGAATAGTGGTCGTGATTTTTAAGCTGAGGTCTGTGAGACCTTTGCAGCTAAATTTACTGAATATTACAGTATCCGATTATTACGTGTCCTGGTCAAAGGTGAAAAGAAAGGAAAGGAGCCGTCCGTTTTTATTTGTTTGTTTTTTTGTTTTACCTTGCAAAATTAATCAATCGCGGAGCATTTGGTTCTATCGTGTCAGTGTCATGTCTGGAGTCTGAAACAAGCCCGGGAAGTCTGTGTAGATCTCCATGATCACGGGAATCACAACAGTCCCTCCCATTAAAGTTCTAGTTCCATTACTGGGTCATTATCTTATTCTGCGGAACTCTAGATTGTTTTATTGCAATTATGAGGGATGAATAGTCAACTTTGTTATCCGACGCAAATCAACATAAGGATTCAAGATAATTCAAGAAAGTTTAGTCGCCGAGAATAGCTACGCATTACTGTTTTCAAAATGAAATCTTGTCCACCAAATTCCAGTTACGTCACAATTCAAAGCAACAAACACTTCAAACAAATTCAAAAGCTCGAAGCCATGGGCGCGATCCATTCAACCAAAATTTCCGGAAATTTCAGTCCAAAACTCAATGGATCGGTTCGGTCCAACCGGAAACGTTTCGAAAAACGGGTCCACCTTTTGAGGTGGACCACTTTTCCCGGTCGGACCGGTTGGAATTTTGGTTGAATGGATCGCGCCCATGGCTTCGAGCTTTTGAATTGTTTGCCACCGGAAAAGCAGTCAAAAATGTCGATCAGAAAAAGGCTTTATTGCTGCACACTGCCGGATTAAATGTGCAAGATATTTATTTCACGTTGACCGAAGAAGGAGGATCAGATAGCTATCAGAAAGCAAAGGCGACCTTGAATAAATGTTTCAAACCGCAAGTGAATGTTCCGTATGAAAAGCTTTGTTTTCGTGAAAAAGGCCAACTGGCAAACGAAACCGTCGAACAGTTTGTTACCAGACTGAGACAAAAAGCCCAAACCTGCGAATTCGGAGACGCTGCTACTGTGAATGAGCAAATTCGTGATCAAGTGACAAGCAATTGCTTGTCGCACGAACCCCGTCGGAAGTTACTGCATAAGGGTCGAAACTTGACACTACCACAATTAAGAGAAATTGCTCGTTCTATGGAGGAATCTGAAAAACAGGCCCGTTAAATCGAAGGAGGAAGTAGTGAGGTCCGTAGTCAGGTGCGTAGTGAAGTGCGTAGTGAGGTGCGTAGTGAGGTGCGTAGTGAAGTGAATAGTGTGAGCGGAAAGACGAATTGAAAAGGGGTTGCGAGCGCAAGAAAAGTCAAAAGTTTTTGTTGTGGATATACGTGACATAAAGCAGAATAATCAGAACATGACACGGCACTGCCCTGCTCCGCATCAGATTTTTTTCCACGAAGACGACAAAGGGTCACAAAGTGTATCGAGATATTGAATGTGCAGTTAATCGAACTTAAAAGTTGAACACTCGACGGACAGGAATCTTGACAAATCGCAAGCAAACTTATTCTACTTTTTAAAAACATTTTTTGTCGGAAGCAAACAAAATGCTACATACCTGCAGAAAACCGCAAAAAACCCCTTTGCTCGACTTTCCCACAGAATTTCTCTCTCTACTCACAACGGAAGCTATCTTCTATTCGCTTGTTGTATTTTGTCTTTCTTTACCTTGAATTTCGAAAGGTTTTATTGAATGTAACTGAGGACTAAATCCGCTAAGGCTGTAGTAAATGAGATTCTTCGAAGCCGGCACCAGAAGCCATTATTGATGACGTCTTCGAGTATCTCGAAATGGTTATGGCCCGGAATGTTTCAGTTTTGTTAATTTTATATCGATTTTATGAGTTTTTGTGACCGCACGACATCATGATTGTTGAGAAATTTATATCAGTTATTCCCGCTTCGCTCGTTTTAATTGTTTCGTTATTACCAATTGATTTCGTTAATTGGATTACATTGTACATTTTGATTTCAGATCGAACAAGAAGACGCCCGGGGGCCTGAACGGGGGATGTGTTGGTGTAAGTAAGAATTACCTGTATGTTGAATGGCAATGGAAAGTTGAGTAGTGTATCAACAACAAATGTGTGCAGGAGAGACGGAGATGTTCTGCTACGGACTAACACGGCTAGAAGATGAGTTACACACAGGGGTTCCTTTGCTACTCAAAACAAAACTTACATGAATATTACCACCATATATGTTAAGAGTATTGGGTAGTTCACTAAAATTTGCATTCCCTTTATTAATGTCCTTAAAAAAATGCACTTCCACATTGAACAATAGCATGTAATGTATCATACTTCCAATAACTACAGGGCTGCAAGGCTATGCTCTAGGGAAAATTTCAGGGAGCCCCTTCGGGCTCCCAAGCATTTAAGCTGGGGTGCCCAGGCCGAAAAGATAGAGCCCTTTGGTCTCCCAAAAATTTTAGTTGGGGTGCCCGGGCCTTTAAGTTGGTCGCCCAAATTAATAGATCAGTGAGCTGTTAGTTAATTATTAAAAATTAAACAAGTTATTTTCTAAACAAGTCAAGAAGAATTTTGTGAATATTTTTTTCATGAAAAATCACATCCTCTGACCTCCTGAGCAAGTACGCCCCCGAATATTTCATGTTTTTTAAATGGAAAAGTAAGATTCTGGTCTGTTAATGTATTTGTTAGAAAAATGTTTGGTTCAAAACAAGGACACTATTCTTTTTACTAATCATTTTGATTTAGGTTTCAAAGAAAATCCGCTTAAGATTGACTGAGCTGAGATCCTGTGGAGCTTTCCAGGAAAACTGCTATGATTTCAACGAAACCGTGGCCGCCCCAAAACTATTATCTCTTTTGAATAGATCATCTTGCTGGAAAGTCCTCGTTTAAACGCGGAACAAATTATCGGTGAAATGTTCAGGATAAATGAGCTTTTTGTAGATTTGGTGGCAGCTAGCTGCGTATTTAATTAACATAAAAACATAAAAGAGCGACTCCCGTGTACTTTACGCCTGTCAGAGCAAAAGTAACAATTTGATTTGAAAAACTAACTAATGAACCATCCTAATTTGAAGAAAAATTAATGTTAATGTTATTTTGAAAAGCTGTTAAAGTCGAAAACTGTGCAGCTTGTCACGTTCATAGTCAAGGATTATGTTGCATGTGATATTCACATGGAACGACCTTTGAACAACAACGCGCAGCCGCTGCCCGATTCAACAACATTTTCTTAAAGCTTTTTGATAGACATGCTACATAAAAGTCGACCTCCACGGTTTGTTAGCGAGCGGAGCGTTCTTTTTAGGCCGGTTTTTCAAGTTACTTCCGCCCCAATCTCCTCGCGGTTTCTCTGCCCTCGCCCGCCTTTATTACTTAGCGCGCCCAACCAAAACCGCCATGCTACGCAGGCTATTAAGAGGCAGTCCCGCTAACAGCGGTCCGATCGATTGCGCGTCAGAAAAAAGTTTCCCGTTAAACTTTGTACACTAAAAGGGTTTGGTATATAAGTAATAAAAATGATTTTCTTTTTTGCAAATAATATATTTCCGCTTTCCCACAGGCGCGATCACGTCCGGGCCAATTCGTCTCCTCCAGAGCCCGATTTAAAGACCGAAAATTGTCGTTTTTGAGGGTCGCGTCATATCGAAACTACAGATAATTATGAACTATCTTTTACACCAGCTGTTTCCACTGCCTTTTACTGACAAATGTGCAAAATATCGAACTTTTTGATAATTTTGCAGAAATCTGTAAGTCCCGAAAGACACCACTCTGAACAGGTCGCCCGACTGCCAAAAAACATGCTCAGATTCGAGAGCTAAAATCTCAATTGTGGGACAAAAATCTGATATGAAATTTATATCAAGATCAAGGTATTACTTCATTTTAAGAGGTTCTAAAGTCAAATCTGCGGGTATCCGCCTGCACTCGGAGCAGCGAGAAGGTAAATTTGGCCATCATGGCACTTTGTTTACAAAAATAACTCTGACTCTATAATTAGTATAATATATTTATCTACTCGATCGATCACTCGCTTGACCGAAAAAATATTCACAGCTCTAAAATTTGCTTAAATGTTTCCTCAAAACCTTCAAATAAGCGCTTTTTTTGTAATTTTATTTGAAAATCAAAAAAGGCGAAATATTTTAGGTTTATAGAGCTAAGGTCAAAGAAACCACTATTGCTTATCTGCAAATTAGCTGGTTGTCACGCACTACCTAACCAAAGTGGATGAGAAAGCAGAGTTTGTATCATGGCGACTCGTTTTCTAAAAACACGAGAATTTGGAGTCTGTGGGGAATTTCGAGGTATAGCTGAGCGTGTGTGCTCAGATCAATGTAGGAACGATTTAAGTCAACAATTTTTCCCGATGTCATTTGAGTCGAGGGCGGATTATGGAGAGAGAACACAATTCTTTTTGCAGAAGATAAAATCATGGGAACGCTCGTTCGAGATTGGCTAGCTTAGCCGTATTTGCGTTGTAATAAAAAGGCGACATGCCTTGTTCCGCCCATCCTCTGTGTACTCTAAAAACACCCCAAGGGACGGACCATTAGAGAAACTAAATTGTTGGTAACAATATAAAGGAGCATTTGTATACAGGAAAAAAATACCCAAAAAGTTCAAAAACGTGAAAAAATGTTGTCGATCACCTCCCCAGTCACTTTTTATATATTTGTGAGTCCCAAACAGCATTGCGTTCAGATTTACAAACCAAAACGTGGAAGCTTTTATTTTTCGTTTCTGTGTTTAAATGGCACAATCTCCTTTACTATCAATATGAAATGCCCTCTTTGGTGAATTCTACAGTCGGTTTTGAAGTCAGCCAATTTACGCAGAATACGAATTACTGGCACAGTGACTGAGATCCAGCCATGTATTATATAGCACAGTGTGAATGTAACGCTCGAGTCGCGCACTGATAGAAAATCTATACGCTTACTATGTGCCCTATATTCGCCTCTTCAGTCAAGATTAACTTATATATTTTATCCCAGCTAAAAAAACCCGGATGTTTTTGGTTCAGAATCTCCCATGAAACATGAGTAGCGAAATACGAAAAATACTAGGCTTGGTTTTTGGCGCTTCTCATATCCGCTGACACTTGAACTGGATCAGACTTTCTTTCAGTTTGTACTCCGACGTCAAATCGGGCTTGGAGATATGACTTCACGTTCTCTGAGAACCTTGTCCCACTACCCCTCGGTTTCTGCAAGGCCCATCCGGCTTCAGAAGACTCCGCATGAGTTGCTGTCATAGTGCTTTTTGCTGATGTAGGCTGCTTCGGTTTCTGCTCACTTACTGACATTGCCGAGAATTTCCGAACCCACTCGCGACGCAACTTGTCGTAAACACTTTCTTGATTTGTGCTGATGGGATCATGATTGCCAAAGTTGATGTGGTCCTGTAAGGCATCTCAGTTATCGAATGAATGTGAGCAGCCGGCTTCGTTGCATTCGAATAGCGCAGTTTCTGTGTCAAGCTTTACACTTTGGTTCGTCTTTCCTTGTAGTTTTACACACCTAGGTTGAACATCCCAGAACTGTAGTTGGTTGGTGGCAGGTTTCAAGGTTATTGCACCGGGAACTTGGACGTCTAGGTCTGACCACAGCACGAGTTTTCCAGCTCCAATATCATAGGCTTTCCACATTCGCAGCCCAGTTCCCTCATATGAAAAGTTGTGAAAGGTGCTGAAGTTTGGGATGCGGTTTACCTTGATTTCTTGATCAGTGCGCTCTGTCTCGCAAACAGCAGCTGTGCATCCCTTCACTGGTCGGACCTTGAGCGCTTCACGCATGTCTGCCGTCGACAGGATATCATTACCCTCGTTAAAGAAGCGTCTGACCACGCCCTTCAGGGGGCTGATGATGCGGTCGTACACATCCTTCCCGAACTGCGGCTCCGAAAAGTCATACCTAGAAATCAACGGTGAAAGCGCTTACTGGAAGTTGTTGTTATCTGATTAATCCTTAAAGTATCGAAACAAACATCTCCTTGATAAGAATTGAATTTTACTTTCCCGTTTTCTTTTATACAAATCACATCCGGCGCATGCATATTTCGGTATCCAGAGTGACGAGTTTATGATCTCTGGAGTGAAACGCAATGGAGAATAATAAATACGCACGTGGCTACTTAGCGCGCAGAGGTTATGAAATATATGAATAAAGCATGTTTGTTCCTTGAGCTGATATCTCGGAGTAGTAAAATGTTTACGATGTACAATAAGAGATATAAACAATAAAGCAATTACCTTAACACACTTATGCCAGTATGAACGTGAACCTCATTCAAAGCAGCAATCAGGTTGTTGTTGTGATAACATCCAGCTCCATCTGAACGCAGCAAGGCTTTGCTGATGTGCGGGTTGGCGATTTTCAGAGTCTTCAAGAGATGCTTAATTATCGCGTAAACTGTGTAAGAGTCTTGGGCACAATTGTCAAAGAGATGCACATAAGAAGTAACCTCAAGCTGTTCTCTGTCTGCTGGTTTTGATAGGACACAGCTTATATGTCAGTTCATCCCACGCTTTCCATACCATTCTGATTGTTTCTCGCGGTATTTCATCTGTATAAACTTCATGGCCCAATCCATCACTATGAGAATGGTATCACTCTGAAGGCAATTAACGGCATCAGTTTTCGCGCGATCTTGATTCTCTGCCCTTAGGATGTGGGCCTTCCACTGGAGAACCATGTCCTGTGCTTGAGCAGCATCGTACAACATGTCTTCTTGCTGGTCTCTGCTGTAGAACTGGACTTCTTGTGAACCTTTAATCTCAGACAAAACAGAGCCCAGTGTGTTCCTGAGACTGTCGCAGCTTTCACACAGCTCCATATGATCATGAGTACAGGATGTCTTGAACTCTAAGCACTGCGTATCGCTAAGTGCGTGTTCTCTGCAGTGCTCAGCACACAGATTGTCGCTGTCTTCACGACAGTGCGCACGGTAGCTCGTTTTTAAGTAGCGCTTTGCTCCCTTTAGATTATCCCGAGATCCCTCGCACCATTTATGGCGTGCACCACACTGCTCCAAGTCATCCACTATTTTATTGAGGGTGTCAAAGCCTTCTGCCCCACTTGATGCCGTGTTATCTAAGCCCTGGAGTGACTTGCGCTGTGATGCCTCTCGCACTTTCAATATCCTGTATACGGTGGACCTGCCTAAAGGCTGATAGTCTTCTTTTCTGCACCACTGATGATATTGCTCAATCATTGTTGAACGCCCTACAGTTCTGACTACGTTAGGCATAACCATCTGCTGACCTGAGTCCAGCTTAACTGTTCTCGTTCCAAAAGAAACATCTTGATAAAAATAAGGCTGGTCAACAAAATCCAAAAAGTGTTCTAGTTTCGACCTATCAATGCATACCCTGTAATGAGGAACTTTTTCAACTTCGAGCCCAACTCCTACAGTTTTTGCATGTGTTCTTGCTTTCTTTATTTGGCGATCACTGAGCTTCTCAAAGGGCGCGTGCATTGCCTTCAGTTCGTTTGACGTATAGCGCAAGGCATATATACTTTGGATCTGTGTTTTTAGATTCTTGGTTGGTGCTTGCCTGTAGGCTGATGTCAGTGCCTCGACCTCTTTATCTGACCTGGAAGCACGCTTCACGTACGATTTCAGCAACTCCTCGCTAGAGCTTGGTGCGATCACTTTACAGACTGCCCGACAGGCCTCGTCAACCTTCTCTTCGCACATCTGCTTTTCTTTCTCTGTCGCAGTGCTCCAGTCCACTTTCAGCCTAAAGGTCAACGGCTCTAAAATCTTGATATCGGACAGTCCAGCGATTTGCGCCATTGCGGTATTATACACCTCGAATGTCTGGTCTGGAAAAGTCTGCATGTCCTCGCCTGTGCTGTCATCGTCCACTGACTCTAGTTTGCGCCACTGTCCAGGTGTCCAAGGGAAGTCACCAAGTGGTGTGGAAACAGTTGGGGTGTCTGGTGGGATCTCTCGCATCTCCGCCAAGGCCTTGTCTTTGCTCTTCCTATATGAGACACAAGAAGGCATTACCACATGACAATGATGGAAAAGCGACTGGCAAGAGACCTACTGCTAAGGGGAAGCTAGGGTGATTTCCCTCCGAAAACTTCAAGTTATGGAATTTAGCAGCATATAAGAGGCATATCTCTTGTAATGCCTGAAATCACCCCGACGGCCACGCCTACACCCAGAAATTGTTATTAGAGGGCATTTCATATCGATAATAAAGCGATTGCGCCATTTAAACAAACAAATAAAAAAATAAAAGCTACCACATTTTGGTTTGCAGGTCTGAACGCAATGCTGTTTGGGACAAACAATATAAAGTGATTGAAAAGGTGATCGACAACACTTTTTTCACGTTTTTGAACTTTTAGGGTATTTTTTTCCTATATACAAACACTCCTTTATACTGTAACCAGCAATTTAGTTTCTTTAATGGTCCGTCCCTTAGGATCGTTTTTAAACTTTTAGGGTATTTTTTTTTCCTGGATACAAAGGCTCCTTTATGTTGTTACCAACAATTACGTTTCTCTAATGGTGGCTTTCTTGGGGTATTTTCAGAGTACCGAGAGGGTGGATGGAACAAAGCATGTCGGCTTTTTGTTACAACGCAAACAGGGCTAAGCTAGCCAATCCCGAACGAGCGTTCTCACGATCTTATCTTGCGCCAACAGAATTGTGTTTGAGCTATGACAAGAACTGAGGATAACTGTTTTTGCGCATTTTAATGTCAAAAACAAGAATATTTATATTAAAGATACCTAGTCAGCAGTACTGCATCATCTTCATCGCGTGGTCCCGCATTCGCGTTTCCTCCCTGTGGCCACGGCCAATTACTCTGGACCCTTTTGCTGTGCGCCTTTCTACAGCTACTACAGATCGCTTTAAAAAAATCATACACGAGATTATTCATAATATCTGCTACTTGCGCAAGTTGTTTATGAGTCTCAATTATTTCAAATAAGAGGTAATCCAGAAAATAGGTAAATACTCACGTGCTCCGACAGGAACAAGAACACCAAACACTTCCATTACTTCCCTTGATACCTTCAAAGTAAATGCGCGATCTGTTCTGACCGCTCTGTGCTCTCTCTTGTGGTCAGGTTACTTGCATGAGCTTAACTTTGTCTGATTTCCCCAGTACTGCCCAAGATACGCACGGTGCTTCGGACAAACAAGCATTTTTTGTCTCTGCGTTTCGGTCGCATAAAACAAACCTGAACGCACCAAAATCAATTCTCCCTCCATAATCCGTTCTCGACTCAAATGACATCGGGATAAATGTTGACTTAAATCGTTCCTACATTGATCTAAGCTTACAAGCTCAGCTATACCTCGAAATTCTCCACAGTCTCCAAACTCTCGTGTTTTCAGAAAACAAGTCGCCATGATACAAACTCTGCTTTCTCATCCACTTTGGTTAGGTATTGCGTGACAACCAGCTAATTTGCATATAAGGAATAGTGGTTTCCTTGACCTTACCTCTATGAACCTAAAATATTTTTCCTTTATGATTTTGAAATAAAATTACGAAAAGCGTTTGTTTGAAGGTTTTGAGGAAACATTTAAGCAAATTTTAGAGCTGTGAATATTCTTTCGGTCAAGCGAGTGATCGATCAAGTAGATAAATATATGATACTAATTATAGAGTCAGAGTTATTTTTGTAAACAAAGTGCCATGATGGCCAAAATTACCTTCTCACCGCTAAGTGTGTAGGCGGATACCCGCAGATTTGACCTTAGAACCTCTTAAAATGAAGTAAGGCCTTGACCTTGATATAAATTTTATATCAGATTTTTGTCCCACAACTGAGATTTTAGCTCTCGAATCTGAGCATGTTTTTTGGCAGTCGGGTGACCTGCTCAGAGTGGTATCTTTCGGGACTTACAGATTGTCTGCAAAATTATGAAAAAATTCGATATTTTGCTCATTTGTCAATAAAAGGCAGTGGAAACAGCTGGTGTGAAAGATATTTTATAATTCGTTTTAGTTTTGTTATGGCGCGGCCCTCAAAAACGACAAATTTCGGTCCTCAAACCGGGCTCTGGAGGGGACGAATTGGCCTGCACGTGATCGCGCCTGTAGGAAAGCGGAAATATATTATTTGGAAAAAAGAAAATCATTTTTATTACTTATATACCAAACCCTTTTAGTGTACAAAGTTTAAAGGGAAACTTTTTTCTGACGCAAAATCGACCGGACCGCTGTTAGCGGGACTGCCTCTTAAGTTCAATATACCTGGACCCGTTCTAGTACCGGGATTGGTCAAAGCTCGTGATAACAATGAATTTCTTAGCGAAAAACCTGTGAAATGACTTACCTCGTAGCCTAAAATTCAATTTCCACCTAGAGCTCTAGTTCTAATCCGTTGAGCAGCTGACGAGGAAGTGACGAACTTCAGCACCAGCAGAAAATCGATAAGCAGATTTGAGAGTTCGTTGGAGTGACTCATATGATTCCAAATTCTTGGTAACACGCACTGTTTGATGCAACAGCTGTTTATGCTTTG